TAGTTAATATTTTATGTTTATTTCATTTAATTAATGTATGATATACTGAGCTAAGATTGTCGGTATCCGATCTGAAATTCATAGCATTGTTATGTTATGTAGTCTCTTCCCAGAATTGATTGTCCTAACTGATCACCTGTTAGGCCCAATTAATCTCAGAATATTTTAAAGTGTTACAATTGTAATGTATTTTAGTGTGTGATATAACAAGCTGTTGACAAACTGTGATTGTTTTTTAGATTAATAAAAACATTTATATTTTTTTTTTACTACCTGTTATTTTAGTGAAACTGATGATGGTGGAAAACACCGAAACGTTTTTTTAATTGATAAATAGACAATAAATGACTGAAGAACCCAGGATTTGATTTTAATTTGGAATTGAAACACAGTCAGGAAAGTACGTACAATGATAAAATATAATATAAAAACGTACCTGGAATTACTTTCATGCGTATCCAATTGGGATATGGAGATCAGATAGTTGGAGAGAGTTTGTGGAGTGACATTGAGTTGCTCAGCGGCCCGAAACAAAGTAATTTCTTTGCGCTTCAACTTGAGCAGAATGTCGGTTGGTCCTTGTTCAGTCCAAAAATCTCGTACTCTTCAAAAGAAAATACTTAATTAGATTATTTACAAAACCATATAAGCAAATGTGCTTTAGTATTAGAAATACTATCTAAATCAGACAATATTTTCACCATTTCGCAAATTTATTTCTGGATTGTTAAGGCTTCTAGTCTTCTACTGGTATAGTCAAAGATTTTATATGTAAATTATCTGAATTTAAAATTCTAAAAAAAATAAGTTTTCTATGCCGTGGTAATGCAGGAATAAATGTGCTAAACGTAGGAAAAACGAAGGATACCTCTGTCATATTCAGAAGCTATTCACAATAATAAAACACATTTTATACACGAGGACTGAAAGCCAATTAAAACTTATTAATAAAGCGTCATGTTAATACAACATATAACTTCACATGCAATGCAACCAATACATATTTAACTATCCTTATCCTAAGTCTAAAAATGCATAACATATTCGTAATTAATACCCATATTCTTGACCTGCATAATTTTTTTAAATTCATTCTTATTTGTGTATTATCAGATCTTGCAAACATTCTCCAACTGCTCGCTAAAGCATATAAACAATGAATTCCAATGGTTTCACAATTATCAAATAAGGCAAGTCGTCTTACAAATTTAAGAAATTTCTTCTCATTCAGCAAAACTATTTACTGTAATGTTAAACTGAAATTAAACCAAATCTAACGACTAACATCGCTTAGGGTGTGCAATATTGGCGTAATCAAAAACTACAAATAACTCGATTTTGCATAATAGTTCAGTTTTGCGTACCTTCTATTAAATAGTGGGTGAAAACTGCAAAAACAAAAAATAAACCGTCAGTGACTCACAACATACTCTATCAGATGTAACCGAATTTAAAAAGCCACACTATGAAAACAAAAACATTAAAATTCATTTGACATATGCGAATGATGTAGTTTTTGTAAATGCACCAAACTCATCATGCTTTTAACGCCAAAGAAGAACATTTAGTTTTTTAAATATGAAAATCAGAATTTGATGACAAAAATTATGGCATTGGTGGGTAAAGGAATTAATTATGGCATTGTGGGTAAGTAAATTCCGATAGATAAATTCGAGTCCCACATCTGCAATAGACAGAAAGTTGTTTCGAGCGACACGGATTTAATCCAGTTTTATAGGATTTGACTGTTAAACCTCAAAAAATGTAATTAAATCATTTCAATTGAATCAAAATAAAAACAGAATTGTAACTATCAAATGCTTTTATAGTATTGTTCTTTTGATAGATAATTTATATTTATTACATCTTTGGAAGTATAACAACAAGTAACATAATTTTATTTCCCAATTAAGCTTATAATTGATTGCGAGTGAATTAGGTGTAAAATGTTGAATGTATTTTTATTTCTAATGGTAAAATTATTTGTCTTTTGAAACTGTTCATCGACATCCTTTCAATTCCATAGAATATATTTAGTACTTTAAAATTGAAACATCAGTCAAATAAGAAAAACTTTCGCATGTTAGTCAGTGTTACTATAAAAGTTCGAAATTTGTAGATTATATTATAGCTGGTAATTTAGTAAAATTAGCCACTACATAATTATTTTTTGATTTCACTCACCTATAGGGATGTTTTAAGCACCCATAAGAATCTCTGTACCTGCCATAGAGCGTTCCATACGATACCCCAAGCAATTCCGCAGCAACTTTCATTTCCAGATTTTTCGTTTTAATTGCGTCCATCACCCTTTTGGTGAACGGTTCCTCCCAGAATTGCTGACGCCGACCAGTATTCAAATATTCGTTCATTTTAATAACGTCCGGCCATTCTTTTTCTATGGCAGGAGTTAAAAATGATTGTAGGGCGGATGTTGTAACGTTTCCAGTTGATTTTGTTGTGTTGCTACTGCTGGTGCATTTCTCATTGGTGAAAGATGTGTTGCTTTGCTCGTCATCGTCATCCTAAAATAATTAATCATTATTTAACTTTTTAAAATATTGTTGTACTTCAGTTCGATCAATATAATTATAATTTCAACAAATTGTTAGTCCGTACACGTTTGTTAAATGAGGATCAACAGATTTACGATTATACCACAAACGCAAAGTAGTTTAATCGATTTGAATGCAAAAGCAAATTTACCGTTTCCTTTTTAATTTTCAATAATGATTCCTCGTTGTCGGTATTATTGGCCGGATCTTCTTCCCAGATCTGCAAATCGTGTTCACTACTGGACAATGCATCGTTTGAATACGTATCGTCCACAGCACTAACGTTTCCAGATACACGTGTGATTTTTGGAGCAGTAAAATGGGAATCGTAATCATCTGAAACGACAATAAAAATGTTAATTTATCACGTCGAATTTGCATATTTTTTATTGTCCAATTTAAAGTAGGTGATTCGAGTGATCAAATCACCAATATTGCGAAACTATGTGAACGGAAATAGCAAAATGTATTCAAATCTTTTATTGATCATAATCACTGATGTATTAAATCGTGTTTTGCAAATTTAAAAAATATTTTTTTATTAATATTATTATTATCATCATCAAAATATAATAAGTATTAAATTTTGTCTCTTAAAATGCTTCGATCATTAGAAGTGAAGCAAAGTTGTAGTCGATGCGGACTCGGTGAATTATCGGTATCAAAACAAACAGGAAAAAATATTCAATCATAAAAATGAAAAAAAAACCTACTTCCAACCCTTATGCTTAAAATTATTTATTCCTTGTACATAGTAACTTTTTATTATTTTCGTGAATTTCTATCAGTTTTACATTGTTCAAAACTGAGATGTTTTCGGTTAAGTAGAAACTTTAAAATTAATTTGAAGGGCGGATAGCAGCAAAATACGATAAAGTATTTAAACGCGTAATTAAATTCAAAATTCCATAAAAAAGCGGCTTAAATCATTAAGAAAACAAATACCGTACCCAAGAATACAGTCAAGAAGTCATCAAAGTGATTTGGAAACAACAAAATCAAAGGTATCAAATTTTAGAAATAAATTAATAATAAATTGACAAATAATATAAAAACCCTGCCAACCAAGCCAACTTTCTATGATAGTCCAGTCAGATTAGACTTTAAAAGGCCTATTTCGGGCACTAAATAGATGAAGGTAAAAGATTATTGGAAGTTGTTCAGAAGGATGTCAGAATATTGGGACAATAGTTTGAGTGCAATTTCCGGCTGTGGAACATTGTTCAATTAATTAAAGAAAGTGCGAAAAACGGTTTTTTGCACATAACTTTTGAACCGTTGATGCTATTGAAAAAAGTTTAATACTTTTCTTCAAGTATTAAAAATACCTACAATCTAAGATAAACTAAATGTAAAATAAGTTCATTTGTGTACTCAAAAACCGAAGAAAAACCGTCAATTTAAGCGTTTTTTAAATTTTCTATAATTAATTTAGTTATGCATCAAAAAATCAGACATAACTTTTTTTGAAGGTCCTTGTACACTTTATAAGTGTACACTTTATAAATTTTAGCTTAAAGAACTCATAACTTTTTGTTCATTCCTATTTGTTATTAAAAAAAGGCTCTTGCCAGATTCTAAATAATTTTTGTTTGGGACGTCGGAGCGACTGAGAGACTCTGAGGGTTTATCTTACTCGTAAAGAGTTATATTACAACTTACAATAAAGGAAAAATTGATTAATGAATAAAATTTTCCTTTATTGTACTCTCTACGAGTAAAATACAGCTCAGAGAAGTCTCTCCGACGTCTCAAGAAAAACCTATTTAGAATCTGGGAAGAGCCCTTTTTCATAACAAATGGAAATGAACAAAAAGTTATAAATATTTTACGTTAAAATTTATACCATTTATAAATTATAGAAAGACCTTCAAAAAAAGTTATAGTGAGATTTTTTGAGGCAAAGCTCACTAAATTGTAGAAATTTTTTATAAAAACTTAAAAATAGTCGGTTTGTTTCGTTTTTTTGAGTTAAGAACGCAAATGAAAATGGAACAGAAAATTTAACTGCTCTCGCCAGGCAATTAAATACCAACCAATTAAAGGGGTTAAAACGAACATAAAATGTGGAATTTCTTTATCGAACAACGAGGTAGAAATCGACGTTAGAAACACGCTATGTAATAACAAACCCAACAAACAGCACGAACAAAAGTATTCAAATCAAAAAAATAAAAAAGAGAGTCACTGGTCACTTCATGTCACAGGATAACTACAATAATAATTTTAAAATTTTAATTTTACATTGCAATCTCTTTCTTAATGTTTCGTTTGTTATTTAAACTTTGCGGCTTTGTTTTGTTCGATATTTAATTGGCTGGTTTTTTTAAAGGTATATAACTTCACTTTGAAAACAAACTCAAAAAATACAAGTTAAGGTCATGGTACTGGCTTGAAAAAATTGAAAAAACCATCGTATGCCATTATAGCTTAAATATGATTTGAGGCATATAGGCGCTGCGGCTGGTTTTAATGATGAGCAATCCACGAAAGAAGTCCAATTTTCGACCAATTTGGTTCCACTAGACCATAAAAAAACACATCAAACAATGAGTTTTTCTGGATATAACGGCGCCTCAATAATGGCTTCCGGAGTTTGGATTTTCGTCCCTCTAAATTCGCCATATTATTTCGAAAATCGCTGTTCAGTTCGCCAAACTCACGGTGCGCTTCGTTCATTTTAAATAAACGTAAAAACATTGCGTAAATAAACAAAATTATCGGCCTTTGAACGACGAAAATCCAGAAGCCATTATTGAGACCCCGTTATATCCAGAATAATCACTGTTTTTTGTTTTTCATGGTCTGGAAGAACCCTGGAAGAAAAAAACACCCTATCTTTGAGTGGGTAAATGTCTAATCAAACAGCAGCCGTATTAGAAAAGGGGTTTATAAAAACTGTGTTTTAATTCCGTGTAATTTAAGTTTGAAAATATTATAAGCCTAAATTTTTAAACAAAAAAACCAAACATATATTTTATATGTATATCCTTGATAAAACTAACAGGTTTCACCTTTAAAATACTTCAAAAGTAACAATTGAACACGATAAAAACAACTCCATAAATCAGACTAGACAATTTCTTAGAACAGCCTGGGAAAAATATAAACAAATTGGTAACTTACAATTCATACCAAATAGAAAAAATATTGAGTCCAGTTACAACACAGAGCCAACAGTTGACCTAAGATTTCAATAAAAAACGGGGAATTCGTTAAAAAAGGAACCATCCAAAACATTTTATAAATCTCCGATAAAATGAATAAATAGTTCGAACTGTATACAAACCAAAAAATAATGTATGTATTGATTTTAAAGCAAATATAAACAAGTATTTGAACCTGTTAGTTAAATTCACATAATGACTTTGTAGGTTTTTCTCTGATCATTTGTTTAAAAACCGAAACGTATGTACTATAGCAATCGATGCGGAATTTGCGTATTAATTGACTGAAATGTTGGAATTTTGAATAAAAAGCATTAATAATAAGTTGCTTTAAATGTGAGGCAGGAAACGCCTCACGTTAATTTTACTACATCGCAATAACGGTAAAAAAATTACAAACTACATTTTACAAAAGCATTTTTAAGCAATTTAGAAAAAGCTTATCTTGATTTCGCTATCGCTGTATTCCATTTAAGGGTATTTCGTGTCAAAGTTCTGAACGCATAAATCGCCAAAAAAATTATGTCAAGGATAACGCCAACAAAAGAAAGAAAAAATCAATCGTATAATCATATTTACAAAATATACTATACTGAATTGCTGTTGACGTTTTAAAGTCGTGAATCGACCAAGAAAATAGGTCACACCGGAGCTATAAGAAAATCGATAGGTATATTAAAATTTCAACTCGAAATTACAAAAATAAAATTGCTTTTTGTGTAAAAAGACTAATTTCCTTTTTTATGTGAAATTTATAATAGCAGTTTCGCAAGTTCGACCACATAAAAAACTTCTAATTCACCTTCATAAATTGCACCAATTTGTCTTTACGTCCCGGCAATGCATATTTCAAACAAACGAACTCAAATTTACCGCTATTGGGAATAGTTGAAGAGCTTTCGTTTTATGGTAAATACAATTACGAGCAATCGTTTTAATTGCAGCTGTTCGGAAAACTTAATCTACATTCAATTTTGACTTGACTTCCACGAAATAACCTTGATAGTTAATTCAATTTCAACTTGTATGGTAAATACAAAATTTCGTTATGCAATCGCAAGTATTATATCTACGCCACACATTGAAGCCCAGTTCCCTGTCAAAAGATCGATAACCCGTAAAAAACCAAAACGCTTTCTGTGGCTTCACTGCACACAATTTTTAAATTGAAAACGTCTCGACAATCTACCCCAAAATTGTTAGTCATCATAGGGGCGACACGGGTTATTACCATTGGGGTGAGATTCAGTTTTTGAAAATTTTCAAAGCCCTTACGTAGTTGATTCACAACGTAAATGTTTTTCTCTTGTTCAATTAGGTCCCTTGGATAACATCTGCTAGAGAATAATTCTCAACAGTCTACGCACGAAGAAACTGATATATTGACGTCTGCAATATTTATGATTATTTCGAAGTTTCTATATTTTCTATTTATTATATGATTGTTTAATGCTCTAATGTCTCTATGGCCTTTTTGTTGTTTTAATTGCCCTATTGTAGAATTAACACACTTAAATGTTGAATTAAACAATATGTACGAAGTGCCATAATTTGATGATTATATGTTATAGAAATTCTTCAGATAAAAATTGTACAGTCTCCATACGAAGATATGGTTCCCTAAAAAATTCCGCTGATAATCGGTTTTTATTAAATTACTAACTAAAATACACAGTTAAATTTTTTATTACGATAATACTTAAAAAAGTGTTTTTTCTGTTTGAGTTCCCCAAAGCTTCGCTCTGTGCTTCGCTTGTGCTTATTGATGCTCATATTTTTAACACTCTGTATAATAGAGACCCAAAAAAAAAATGTTTTCAAATAGTTTGAAAATGAAACTTAAAAGACGTACTCTTGTATTGCTGTCGATAAAATTAACCACTGCAGCTCCTATAGTCTCATATTTAAGAGTATTTAGATAAACTAACACACAAACACTATTTTAATTTTTATATTGCTTTATATTTTTAATGAACATATTTTGAGGCAATTTTAGCTGAAAACGAGTTGATTCGTTTTCTTTGTAGATTTTGAGTAAAAATTAGGAATAGTTTTAGTATATTTCTTCACAAAAAAAATTGCGAAAAACCAGCTGTCGACATGGGGTTCATTTTATGCTGCTTTTGTCCCAAAAAGTCGAATCTGCAATCAGAATTCGCCTTGAATGAAACAAACCACTTGGAAAACGTTGCTTTAAAAGTGGCTTTCTGGCATGTATTTCTTTCATTTCTCCAACTGGGCGTAAGCAATAAAAGCTAGGACACCACTTTCTGTTCGCTTTAAAGCACTTTAGTGTGGAAACTGATACACGCGTTTAAAAAAATTGAGTGCCGACAATTATTCTATGTTCAACGTAACAAATTAGGTATTTTGCAAATAAGAAAATCAATTAAACAGTGTTTTTTTGCATTCAGTTTCTCTGCATTTAAATTTTGAATTACGACACGTTACGTCGTTACCAGGCAAAAATATAATTAGTTAAATATAATATAGTTAAAAATTAATAACTTAAAATGGGAAAAACGTATAAAAAACAGATTATAAAGCAAAAAATAGATATATTAAAAGTATTTTGGGCGCCGACCCAAATAGTTAGTGTCCTTAATGGAATCATCAGATTTCATCTCGAATATGGCTCAATTTTGTTTACTATACACATTTTTTTAAACACAGAATAGAGACCTAACTAGAGATACTAACCCAAACTAACCCAAAAGATGACATTTTTTTAAACACAGAATAGAGACCTAACTAGAGATACTAACCCAAACTAACCCAAAAGATGCCCTCTTTTGGAAATGGACAAATTCCGTGAAATGCAATTCTGAAGCAAGATACAATTTATTATTCTTTAGTCAAATAAACTCAATATTTAGAAGTAATATTCCAAAATAACTTAAAATGGGAAAAACGTATAAAAACAGATTATGACGTCAAAAAAGTAGATAGCCTAGAAGTTGACTGACTCAATTTTGTTTACTACATACAATTTTTTGTTAAAAAAAAACAAAAGTTTCTAAGAATTTTCTTAGATCTCAAAGAATCTCAAACATAGCTGCTCAAATCCACTCTTATTTCGTATACCCTTTTAAGTCAAATATGTAGGAGAAAGAAAAATTTTGATGCAAAATACAGTGTGACACAACAAATCCTTCGCTCTAAATCTGTGCAAAGAACCAGCGGAGGTGTGCCCACAACATTTAAGAAAGAAATGAAAATTAGATTTCAATTTCAATTTCCCCTTTTCCGATTTCTTTCAATGTTGAATCATAAAATTTTAGCCTCAAGAATGGCGATCGCATGCTTTCATCTTTCAGGAGACCCTGTATCTATTAAGAAAAATTGCAGATTCGGTAAACATTGAAAACGGTTCTTTTAAAATCAAACAAACGGTACCGTTTATGCGTAAATAAGAACCTCGTATAATCACGTGGACAACGACCAACACGAATAAGCATGAGTATTTAATAATATGTAAATTTGACTAACTCTGGAAAATTGCGAGTGACAAAACATTTCACCTTATTTAAACAATTAATACATAAAATAAAGCGTTCTCAAAATAAATGTATGCTTAATACATTGTTCCTATTAAATTAAAGTCTTAACTACGAATTGTACTAAAGCTGGTGATAATTTTATTGTCTCCAGCTCAATATTCATATAAGAGAAAATCAAAGAAGATTTATTACACAGAAAAATACCCATCGTCAAATGCCCTTGATTTAAATTTCGCATTTTGTTACGTCAATCAGTATTGACGGCATTCGGTTTGGAAAGATGGAATATTTTGGAAATGTTCCATTTCCGCTCGCTACCTATTATGAGCAGATCAGCAGGCAAAAATTTGAAAAAAAAACTTGTCTGACGCAATAAAACTGAATTTTATTTCATTTTTTCATAAGGCACATAACATACCTATGGGAGGTCGTCCACGCTTCTTCTTGTGGGGAATGTTATTTGAGGGCGGCGATTGCGAATTGGGGCTGTTCATTACAGTAGTAACTTGTGGAATGGCCGTGTGTATCCCATTGGAATTTCCATCGCCAGATCCAGTTGGTTCGTCGTCTTTCCATGACACTTCAGCCAAACCTTTTATTCGTAGTTCTTCGGCTGTTTTCAGCAATGTAGCTAAGTGATTCTGGAACAGAAAAAATGTACTTTAAAAATTATTTCAACGCAATTTACACAGTTTGAGCAGCTAAGTGAAGCAAGAACGAATTTTGGTTTGTAAAACGTATAACTAATTGACATTAGTTAATGAGCATATAACTATTTTACATCGGACTGAAATTTCTATTGAATTTCATTTCCATTGCAAAAATATGAATAATATTATAACAAATAATCATTAAAGTACAATACAAAAAAATGTGCGATCGCAATTCTTAATGGACAATATTGATACAAAAATAATTGATGCAAAGTTTTTTTTATGTCAAAAGCAAACTGAATCCCAAATCGGGCATTTTTTGGTAAACTATTAATTTTCTCGTGAAAATACCTGAAAACCATCATATTGGTATCATCATCAAACCCTGTATATTGCAAACGACTCTTATTGTATAGAAATTAACGTATTTCTCCGAAATTCCCAATAAAAATTATTTTAAAAAGATACATGTTACATCATCAGTTATACCGACTTTTGTATTTGTTATTTTATTAATTTTCATTGATTCAATTTCAATTGTTTATTTGATTTTATTACTGGCTGTCAGCATGATACCTATATTATTCTTCCATGTTGTTCAACAAAATATATATTAATGATGCAAAAATAAAAATATGTTCTATTTTTCATAATGATAATCAATATGCACACTAGCGTTTAGGATGCGCTTTCAACAATTAACATTTATTCATTCACTGAACTTAAGTCTATTATAAATATAGATTTATCACCCATTTATAAATACATAGGACGTGTAATCGAAACCATTGAATGATAAGACTTGGATACGGATGACCATTTAACTCTAGGAAAATACCGATGATTAAGAAAATAACAATCACTTTCAGTAATCGTAAAATGGTTCAATATGTAAAACAATTTCTAGAATTTTCTGTATCGAGTTAATTAAGTTCAGGCAGCATAAAGTAGGTTTAAAACTAGAGCTAAAAAATAACATTTGCTGTCGATCTGAAGCAAGGGTCTGATCTGAAGCA